GTTCGGTTGTTGTTAGAAGAATAAAAAGCTGTTTAACATCGCCATGTGTTTTCATCATTCACACGCAAACGAAGTACTTAACACTTACCAAAATAAGAGGAGATAAAAATCACATAATCACATTTGAAAGGGTACCCTGACTAGTATATGGAGAAATTATATGCCAAACATTAGGAATTATACGTTCAAGGGATGGAATCACAGTTCTAAATACAGTCCAGAAGGCCACCAAATGTAATTCTTCCTGCAAGGTAGGGCCATCCACATAACATTCACCATCTGTTTTGTACTATATGAACAGCATGCAGAGTATTTTAAAACTCATACAACACTACAGTATTTTGTGCAATTTCCATCAACTTCTAAAAAACTCTGCACAACAAATGTATAGCAAAGTCCATCTCCTTGATCAAATCCTTTTATTTAGTTTTCAATAAGTGTACCTTTTTATTTATTCTCCAAGAAAAAAAACTTCAACAATTCATTGATGACACAAGATTATAATATCCTCTGCAAATGTTGATAATGTGCAAAGAAAATAACAACTGTTCTAACAGATGGTTCTGAGGTTACATTGATGTATTTTGTGATTGCTGGGTAGTGTATGAATCTGCAATCTTACACATCCTTTGGGGTATTGTTTGCACACTCTTCCTTGCATGAAGAGACACAAGATCTTTATTCCTTCAGTACTTGCGCCATGTTTCTTTTTCATACCTGGAAACTTTACTCTCCTATCCAGTGGTGGGATTCAGCCAGTTCGTACCACTTCAGCAGAACCGGTAGCTAATTTTTTGTTGCCCTGGCCCAGAATGGACTTCTGGAAGCAGCATCCACACAGAGAACCAGTTGTTCACATATTTGACTCCCACCACTGCTTTTACACAGCACAAAATTCACAAAAAGTGACTCAATTATTTTTTGTTTCTTTCTTCAGAGGTAGAACCTCTTTACTGTTGGAATTTTCTGAACTCTTCATTTCCAGAAGAGAATTATCTAGTAAAGTATAAAAGAGAATATACTTAGTTCAGAACTGAACTGTGAAGTCTTTGATGCTTTCTGAGCTTGGTTGTTTGCTTGAGATGTTTCATTACCCAAAGTTAGGTAACATCATCATTGTGAGAGAGTGTGGCATTTGTCCTCTGTTTATATCCTGTAACTTGCTCTGCTAGTTTTGGTGGGGTTAGCTTACTTATATTCAGTTTAACAATGCAGAATGGAAAAGGGAAGAGATGGGAAACAAGAAAATGCTGCACATTACCCAAACAGTTGGAAGGAGGAACCATATGGACTAATACATTAACAAGATCCTGATTTCCAGTTCCTTCTGCTGCAGGCTGTTGCACTAGCACTTGCTTGTAATTCTTTCAGTAATTATGTAAAAAAACAAATCAGTACCATTTCTTTATTGCTGGGCTGAGAGTTAAAGTGCATTCACTTTAAAATGCATTCACTCAACCAACTTGAATTAGCTGGGAGGGGTTGATTATTGGTAGGATCAGGACAGACTCCAAAAAAGCAATTAAGCTTTAAATAATATAGTGGAGCTAAAGATATTCTCTCTGCTGATTGTAGTATTTGCATGTCAAGAAAATCCAGTCAACATTTGTGGAAGATTTCCTCCTCAAGCAGATATGGTTGCAGAATTCTTTTCTAAAGAAATAATTTCTGGAGAATTGCAGTTGAAAAGAAAACAGATCAACATATTTGGTTGCAAATCTAAATGGTAATTAGACCACAGCAAAGAAACTTAAAACAGCAGCACCAGCAACTCTTTGTTGTTCTATAACGGTCAACTGCATTTTTGCAAGCTGAATATGTTAGCTCTAATTAACTTCTGTTTCCTATTACTTATTTCTGATGCATTTCAACACTGTATACATATGATCTAAAAACAAATCAAATTAGGCCCATCCTGACCCATAGGTCAATTGCTAACACTAGTCAGCTGTCTCTGTAAACATCATAATTCAAACAAAATTATGGCTATCTTGTGTCCTGTTTCATCTTTGGTATAGAAAAAAGATCCCTTATATCTGAAGTATAATTGCCAGTCTGAGACAGCAAACTTGTTGCATCTAAGTAAAATCTGCTTCAAGCTGAGCTCTCCTACTCTTTCCAATCTAGCTGCCAGCTTCAGTGTCTCCACTGGAGCCTGCAGTAAGCCACAAAGATGGCAAAATGATGATACATGTGTGATGATGCTATCATGCAAATGCTATTATAATCTCAGTATTTTACGACTGACACAAGTATATAAAGTACAGGATTTGCATGATTAATCTTCACCCTTGTATGAGCAGTGGTGGCGCAGTAGTTAGAATGCGCAGGTAATTCTGATGACTGCCAGCAATTCAATTCTAACTGGCTCATTCAGCCTTCCATCCTTCCTGAGGTCTGAAGAGGTATATAAATCTAAGTCAATGGTTCTCAACCTTTTTAATGCTGCGACCACCAACCGGTCCTAAGTCGAGGACTACCCAACCGGTCGTAAGTCAAGGACTTTCCCTGCCTGGGAGAGCCGCACATGTGTGGTGCCGCCCCCTGCGCCGGCCGAGGCGTAGCTGGCAAGCGGCAGAGACGGCGCAGGCCGACCACCAGCTGGGCCACCAGCTGGCCCAGCCCAAGGGAGGTAAAGCACCCGCTGGGCCCCACGCGTGCCAGCAACCCTCCCTGCGCCCGCTGGCCTCCCACCTCCCACCCCTGGCCCTCTTTTACTTACATTTTTAGTAGTTGCTCAGCAGGGAGGGGTGGAAATTTCCAGACAGCTCGCCTTCGCTGCAGACAACTTGCAGCACCGTTTGCAGAATGGGACTTTTGGCGGGCTCAGCAGGGCAGAGACAGCCTGGACAATTCCTCTTGCCTTTTGAAAGCCAATAGAATTAGACTCTATTCAAGAGAGTCTAATTCTATTGGCTTTCAAAAGCTAATAGAATAAAAGGGAGTAGCACAGCTAGGGAAAAGGGGAAAAAAATGGTGGACTGCGTTGTCTGGCGACCCCCGTGAAATGGTCGTTCGACTCCAAATGGGTACCCGACCCACAGGTTGAGAAGCGCTGGTCTAAGTGCTATTGCTATTTCCGCCTCTCCTGCCATGGAAGACCATTATAGTTTCCTGCTTTAATGGCTAAACCCAAATCAATGCAGCCAGGTAAAGCCACCTCTGAAGACCCTGCCCCTTTAGGATTTGTGCAAAAGAGAAATTTCAGCAGAAGTGATATACTATGCAATTCAATATGTACACTTTGAAAGTCACTTGCCATATTTAGTACTTCCTCTTTGGAAATTACCTATGTATGAGAACTGCCACTTTCACATCCATCTTACTTAATGGTGCAAAGATACTTCATACAATGAGTAAACAGACCTCTTAGAATAGGGAAAATATTCTGATGGTGGTGTGACATTTGCTATCCTTGAACAAAAAGATGTCAAAGGAACATACTAGGATGGAAGGCCCAAGTACATCATATGAACAGGGTAAATCAATTCAAATCTCAAACTGAGATTATTTGCATTAATGATTCTGCATGGTGGGAGCAGTTGGATTAGTTAGTGACTTGATTCTCTACAATGGATCTTTTTATATAGCACTGTTTCTACTAGATTCATTTTTTTCTTACTGAGGAATAACCCTCAAGATAAATTGAGTTTGAAACAGAAGTCAGACTCTTGCTGTTAATAAACTATATTCTAGTACAGTGTGATATTTGCACACCAGAAAGCCTCAGGTTATAAAGCCTTTCCACTTAAAGGATCTGCAAAGTAGCAAGACCACTACTTGTGGTCTGTTCATCTGTTGTTTTGTAGACACTATTTGGCTATATGAGAAATTCATGGTGTGTATTTGTGTATGTGTTGAATGTAGGAGAGAAGGATACCCAACTGTGTTTACTAGAGAAACCAACAGAAGGGAATCTAATAATAGGGAAGGTCTAAAAGTTGGGCTCAAAGCCCAAAGGGAAGGATATAAAACCAAAGAACAATAGGTCTAGTGAGAAACTGTACTTTAGAATGGCATGGGTTGCTTAGAAAATGCCAAGTCAGGGCAGCTGGTCTGTCTCATAGGAAGCATGATAATACATAGAGAAAACCAGGGCTTTTTTTCTCATAGAACGCCCAGAACGGAGTTCCGGCACCTTTTTTGGATGGAACCTTGTAGGGTAGGCAAGGCGGGTTGTATGACATGTGTGAGTTCTGGCACCTTTTTTTTTAAAAAAAAAGAAAGAAAGAAAAAAAGCACTGGAGAAAGCTATGTTTTCAAAGAAACCAGAGGCCTATATGCTTCTTCCAATATTAAACTAGAAAAATATGAAAAAAGTAAATGAATAGGAGCAAAGTCAATTTCCAATTAAAATCACTTTACTTGTCTAGACTGATTCTTTGTCCTGGTGTCTATTTCAGTTTGCTGTTTGAATTGGCAAAGTCAGCAGAATCTAGTGCCATCCCTGCACCCAGCTGATATAGCTTGCAAACAACAGCCAACAGCTCAGCCATCCCTATACAGTCTGACTGGTTGTTTTAGTTTTCCAGGGGGAAAAAATGGTGTGTGTGTGTGTGTGTGTGTGTGTGTGTGTGTGTGTGTGTAGAGAAGCAAACATAATAAAACATGTAATTTCATTTTAAGTTCATTTTTCGTTGTTCATTTTTCCAAGATTGTAAGGAATTTTCTCTCTATCCTTATTGTAATTGTGCATGGTAGGTAGTTAGGAAGAGTAAAACAGGAAGAAAGTTTTTCATTATGTTTCATAGGGATTTAAATTAAGCTTTCCCCACTTCCAAGCATGCCAGATCTCTTAAAAAAAGAAGAAATCTTTCTGTTGCTTTATATTCAGATAAAAGTTCAAAGTAAAAACTTTGGAAAGTAGGAAAAATGTGGGGTGAGAGAACATAAAAATTATGATACAGTCTTGCTGTTACTCCACAGTAAAAGTACATTCTGATTTTTTAAAAAACAAATCTGGAGTGATATTGTATCTTCCATGAATATTCAGTTATTGTTTTCTTCATAATAAAATCATAAACATAGGAAAACCCATTTTGGTGTCCATAAACAGATAAGTAGTGGTATACAGTAGATGTTTCCCTTTACAATATGGGCGCATAACCTTCCTGACAAATACTTGGACTACCCTGCCAGTTTATTCTAACAGCAGTACGTGATGCAGGACAGAAAGAGAGATGAAACAGCCCTAGCTGCATTCTCCAGGCAGCTTCCCCTTTTCCCTGCACTGAGCCGGAGAGGCGAGGGAGGGCACTTTGTCAAAGACAGGGAGGGACTCTTATTTTCACTTCCTCATTCACCCTGTTCAAGCTCTAGAGAGAATTGCTCATCTTATAGGGTGTCTGTACTGTTTATCACAAACAAGAAGAAGCTGAACCTGAAACGAAAGGATGTTGACCTGTTTGCCATCTCTCTTATCTTTCTTTCTGTGGCCTGTGGTACTTTGAAAAGGAGCTGCAACAACTGTGGTGGATGGGCATAGTGGAGATGGAAGACAGAAGGAGGATGAGCTACCGGCACGTTCATGGCCAAGTAGAAGAGGAGCTCCAGAACTTAGAGTAAGAACAGAAGTTATAATTACAGTGGGTTATAATTTGAGGGTCCTTCATTCTTGGGAGGAGGGATTCTGGGTAGCTTATGAAAGCTGGCTGACATTATCCAGTTGGCCTTTCCTGATGATCCCTCCCCTATCTTTTTCCTTTCAAGACTGGGGTCTTGAAAGATAGTAAAGAAAATCAGCTTGCTCCTTTCCTTCTTCTTCTTTAAACAGGGCAGATACTTAGAATCACAGACTCATAGAATTAACTGGTTAGGATATTAGAAAAACAAGTCCTAAGCCTTAAAGAATGCAGAAGGAAGGGAGAAAATGCTTTAGGAAATGACAGAGATTGCGCTGAGCAAGAGAAGAGGTTTGCTAGAGGAACATTTATTTAATTGGGAAAGTCTTTTTGTTGATGTCATAAAACAAGATGCAACGCTCAGTTACTGAAACAGTGGTGGGTCACTGATGGATGGAGAGGGTTTGGATTTTTTTTTTTTAAATGACCTGAGAGTTTCTGTGGGCAAGTTTTAAACCATATTTGTGGCCTATGGAGTCAATCTCAATTCTTTTCCTGATTATACCTCTCCCCTCACTTTTTCAGGGAGTTGGGTTTTTACTTTAATGCTATGACAATTTATGACAGTGTGTATACTACAAGTGTTATGTATTTTCCGACAAAGCCTGGAGGGGAAATAAGTTGCCAATTTTCTGCAGTTGTGAGTGGAAAAGTTAATTAAATTTCAAATAAGGGGTTTGAGGGTCATAAAGGCCTGGGGATTGCCTACTATTGCTGTAATGGAATACCAATAATGACATTCTGTTTTTTTAAAAGGTGTTAAAGCTGCAGCTTAAAAGAGAGGGAGTACTTCATAATAGCAAGACATCATTATGTCAGTAGTAATGCCATAGTATTAGCCAATAGGAGCCCCCATCAGGCACGAACCTATTGATCTCATTGTTCTGCTTTTTTCTGCCTAATATGATATGGTCATGGTATTACTGAAGAATGGGGTTTCTCCTAGATAAGGGAAATCTGTTAAATCCTTGTAGCAACTGAATAGTATCAGCAAAATGTTCTTGAAAGTCAAATATGAGGATTTTGCCATTAATTTGCCCCCCACCCATTTTCCAAATGATGGTTTAAAGATGTAGAATATTAAGCAATCTTTTTCTACACTTGCATTCATACTGCTTAAGTTAGAACTGCAGCCATCAGTTCTCCAAAGCTGTGTGCATGCATCTATGCACACATGTGTTGAGTTTTGCCAATGTGGATGCCTATAAGCAAATATAGTGCACATCTGCTATATAACCAGATAGAAAATCAATAGAATGGGTTCACATTATATCTTGAAACTAATAAGGAGTTTATGAGAACAATTCTAATACTGATGGTTAACAGGTTGTTAGAACCAACCAACCAACCTTGCATAGAACTCTGGATGAACTTTGGAGATCTTTGATTTTTTTTTCATTAGAAAAAGACTAGGAAAAAAGAAGGATGAGAAGAAAAATGATTGATTTGAGTATGAATTTACGAGGGCCGCATGAGTAGTGATTTAAGATGAAATAAAGGAAGAAGTATGTTTTTAAGCTATCATGCTTTCATACACAATGGATAGGATTCAGATCATACTCGGGAGTCTGGGCACATACAAGGATGAAAATGTAAAATCCAGCTGAGTTTAGAATTGTCCCCAAATTAGGTAAAACATTTGTGATTTTGGATAAACAAACAAAAAAAAATAGAGGGAAACATATTTACAACCACAATTGGGACCGTAATTTCCATTGCTAAGCAAGGCAGTTGTTAAGTGAATCATGACCAATTTTATGACTTTTTTGCCATGGTCATTCAGTGAATGTGGCTTCTTTCATTGAGTTTGCTTGTCAGAAGCTGGCTGGGAAGGTCACAACTGGTGATCACATGACCTGGGATGCTACAACCACCATAAATACATGCCACCTGCCAAGCAGCTGAATTTTGATCATATGTTCACGGGGATGCTGTGACAGTTGTAAATGCGAGGACCAGTTGTAACTCACTTTTTTCAGTGCCGTTATAACTTCAGACAGTCACTAAAAGAAAGGTGATAAATCGAAGACTACATGTAGTTTTAGTATTAGCAGAAATGGAAATTAAATCTAAATAGATTAAGTAAAAGTCAAACTATGTTGCACTAGTTAATTACAGTGTTTTCCAGAAAGTAAGACCCTGTCTTACTTTCTTTTGGGCTCTGAAGTAAGCACTAGGTTTTACTTTTGGGGAGGGCTTACTTTTTGCCAGTACCAGCACCTGTAGGCCATGAGCACATGGGGGTGGGGCAGGGCCTGTGCATGGAGTGGAGAAGAAACATGGTGACAAGAGCGTGGTTGTGGACCAGTTGCTTCCCTCCACCTGCCAAACACCACTTGCCAGCCGCGCAGGATAAGATTGCCACGCCCACCCCTGCTCAGATGCACTTGTCTCCCCCAAGCATTTTTTTTTATTAACCTGCCTTTCAGCTGCATTGTGTTTCTCCATTCACTTCTCAGCTTTTGCTGCATGTTTGTGAGATCTCGCAAGAAGTTAGAAAATCTGATTGAACTTTTTTTTTGTCCCACAAACACGCGGCGATGACTGAGAAGTGAATGGAGAAATGCAATGCAGCTGAAAGGAGGTTAGTAAAAAGAAATGTTTGGGGAAGGTACAGGCATCTGGGTGGGGGTGGGCATGGCAACCTTACCCTGCACAGTGGCAGGAGGGTGTGCATGTGCCCTTCCCATGCCAGGCCAGGCCCTGCAGCCCAGGGGTGGCCATGCTGGGCAGTGATGAGAAGGGCGCCAAGTTGGAGCCTTCCAGGCTGACCAAAGCGGCAGGTGGAGTGCTGGAGGCTCTGGGAGGGAGGATGGTGAAGCGGGCAATCGGGCCATTGGCGAGTGCAACGTGGCTCAGCCAAAAGCAGCCTCGGAACAAGTAGGGCAGGTAAGGAAAGAAATCCTTGCTCCTCCCAGGAATTGCCTTTCTTTGCTTACCAGACTCCCAGCCCCATGCCGTTTCTCCTTTGCAATCCGCCGCCGCCATCACATGCAGGGAAACAGGAAATTTTTTTAGGGAAAAAAAGGGTCAATTAATCAATTCCAACTCCTCACACACACACACAAAAAGATCTCGCAAAGTTGGAATTGATTGATGGACCTTTTTTTCCCCAAAAAAACCCTTCCTTTGTTTCCCTACGCGTGGCAGTGGCTGATCGTGAAGGAAAAATGACACGGGGCTGGGAGTCAGGTAAGCAAAGAGAAGCAACTCCTGGGGGGAGCAAGGATTTCTTTCCTTACCTGTCCCACTTGTTCTGAGGCCATTTGCCGCCTCGCATGTTGCTCCCAATGCCGCTGCCATGAGGCCGCGGAACAAGCTGGGCGCCTGTAAGGAACCAGTAAACTGGTACCGTGGGTCAGATCCCCCTCCCCCCTTAGCTTTGCCTCATCATAGGCCGTCCATGCAGGCCCTTAAGTAGGGCTTACTTTGGGGAGAGGGCATATATTAGGCCCACCCCCAAAAAATCTGACTAATCAACTGATTAACTACTTTCCAAATTGCACATAACACAAAATAAAGCATGTTTTGCTGTGTGGAAAAATCCTAAAATTCATGGTCAGGCGATCTCTTCATTAGTTCTGATCAAAAATGTAAGTAATTTATTTCTTGCAAGACTAAACTCCAGTTTTCTTTGGAAAGCTAATGGTCATGATGTAGCTTTACAAACTGTGGAAATACAATAAAAGCTTCCTACTTAGAATAAACACTGTAACAGCAACTCTCTCTCCAGGTGGAAATTTCTTCTTTAGAAACTTAGGCTAGGTTTAAAATTAAACTTATTTCTTATATATTTGCATTGTACGATAAGTGGTTATGAGCATAAAGTCAAAATCCATGTTAATATTCAGACAGCACATAAGAGTCATGTTGTCCTTATTTGCTATGATTGATTAATATATAGCCATCTTTTGGAATTTGTCCCATTTGGAATGTGTTTTTTTTTCTAATATCGGCCTAAGTGGCCAGTAGAAAAAAGTTTGGCCATTTTTATCGGTATTCTTTTGAAATGATCTTGAGATAATAAGACTCTGTGACAAAAGACCATCTTTAGAATTTCCTAGTCTCACTGGATTCACAGTGGTAAAAATCATGTTTGAATTGCTGAAGTTCTGTGAAGCTTGTGATGTTCATTTTCTCATTTCTAGGAATTGGGCTTCTGGGGCTGTAATTGCCCTTGCATAGATCTTTCTTAGAGGAATGGTGAATTGACATTTTTGACGCTTCCTCTTATAGAACATGCAATCAGAAACTTGCTTACAACAGTGAAGACATGGATGTGTAAATGTGTTGGAGACTGTGCATGGCCCAAAGTTACTTAATCAGCTTTTGTGGCTGAGAGTGGACTTGAACTTGGGTCAAATGCTAGTCCAAGATATTGATTCTTATTTAACATTTCCATTCTTTATTATGTGCCTTTGCAGTCTCTATATATGTGAGTACATTGTATTGGATGTCAGGTCTTTGTTATATATGAAGTGTCTCAGCTCCATCTCCCCACTTTCAGAAAACTGATTATTTATTTGCTGGAGGGCATTTGCTTTTGTGGAAGACATTAGCAGATGGCTAATGAACTTGGTAAGATGCCTGCAGAGACTAGCTTTTCACAATCCAGATAGTTCTTGTCTAGTAATTGCCTCATTTAGCAACTCTTACAGTTACAACAGTAATGAAAAAGTAAGCTTACAATCAATTCTTGCATTTACAAGCTTTGCAAGTCTGTAAAGCAAAGCAAAAATGAGATAAGATCAGAAGCAGTCATTACCTCAAGTAGTCATTAAACAAGGTTATCTGTAGTATAAATAGAATGCAGACTGTGGTTAGTAATAGTAATAGTAGTAAAGTTGGAAGGGACCTTGGAGGTCATCTAGTCCAACCCCCTGCTCAGGCAGGAAACCCTACACCATTTTGGACAAATGGCTGTCCAGTCTCTTCTTAAA